CGTAGGGTCAGTAGCAAATGAGCTAATCGTTGATCTAAAATCAGAGGCATTAATTTTTGAAATAAAAAAATTGAAAAAGATATACCTATCATTTTGCTTATTGTAACTACTACTAATAGTAAAATAAGACCAGTGACTGACAACTCAAAAGTATTATTTTATTAAGTTTAATTCAGTTCAAATTTTGGATGAACTAATGAAATGAAATCATAAAATGAATTAAATAATTTCAAATTTCACTTTCATACTTTTTTGGGACAAAATTTTCTGTAGATTTATCGTTTTGAGATTTCTTTCTCAGTTAAATACACAACTAGTCAATTATTAGAAATGCAACACGTCTGTTTAAGAATTAAAGAAGTAAACGACAAGTGCTAGAAATTGTTGTAATCTTTAAAAAATTAATGAATTTTTGTTTAATTTACAAAATTTTTTATTTATTTTATCACAAATAATAATTCAGTACTTTTTATGTAAAATATAATGATTCTACGTACGTAGCCATTGGCGTGCCGAACGTATGTGCAGTTGATACAGTACCATAAGCCGAGGCTGTTGGATAAGCCATTGGATGAGCGACCGGATATGGCTGGTACCTAAAAATTTATTGATATTTTCATCAAAAAGTTGAGATGAAAGATGTTTGGATTTTAAGGTCAAACATAACTAAGGTCAAATACAAAATGAATATACATCATAAAATAGCATCACAAAATATGTTAAGAGTACTTAAAAATTGGCAAACAAGTAATAGTAGTATAAACATTCCAAATATTATAATAAATGCTGTTGTCGTCATTATTACAACTGCAAATGATTTTTTATCCATAATAATAGTACTAATACCAATAATACTACTACTAATAAAAATAGTAATAATATCATTATCATCATTAATCACTAAGAAGATTCATTACTGGGGTGTATAATGCAGACTTCTACAGTATCCCTATCATACAGTAATAAAGATTTGTCAAACTTTTCATAAAGTTTGATGCCTTTAATTTGTAACATTGCAATCTAAGCTTTCGGTCTTTTGTAGTATAAAAGTAAGCATTCTGTAGTAATTCAAAAGACTACCAGAATGGATCCGCGGCAGCTCGGGCTGACATAGCAGCAGTGGGGGGATACATTGGTGTTCGCATAATTTGTCCCGCGGCACTTTGTGATGGAAAAACTGCTTGTTGTACCAAAGCTTTGGATAATTGTTTTTCTTGTTTTCGATGCTTTGCCCGCCTATTTTGAAACCATACCTGACAATAGTAATTGCAAATAATTTGAAAAACTTTTCTTTAATTTTAAGTTAATGCTTATTTTTGTAGTTTTCACTTTATATTCAATATCACTTTGTTAACGAGTTTACGGTAACCATAAAGTCAAATACTTTTTAAAAAGTATTATTTGATAAATTTGAAATTTTTGCATAAATTATAATTTTATTTTGGTTTTCTTCTACAAGTAATTCAGTTTTAGAACACACATTTAACGATGGATGCTTTAAAATTTTATTGAAATAGCATGAATCACATAATTGTAAAAGGATTAAATAATTCTTTAATAATTTATTTCCTAGAAAATAAGTATTGGAAGTCAAAGGTCAGTAGAACTAATTTGCATATCTTTACTTCATTTAATGCAATTTTTCTCATTTTAATAGAAAAAAATACTTGGTCTGAAATTATGCGTAAAAGTAGTAAATAGCCTTGAAGATAGTTCAAGAAATTAGTTTCTAGCACACAAATAGAATACTGAAAAGGTTAGATAAGACTAGGCAAGGCGAAAGAGAAAAAGGAAATAAAGAACGTGAAAGTTAATCAAATTTGAAAACGAATTCGTTTGAGCTAAGTTAAGTGCTGTAAGTAAAGTAAAGTAAAGTAGTCTTTTCTAGATGATAGCATATACTTTGCTCTTATTTTACTTTCGATTTTAGTCTAAGAAATATGCCTAAAAGAGAAAGAATAATATTGAATAGTATATAAAATGCAGTAAGTCACAATTAATAAGCAATTCAGACTAAGCAATGCTTCTCAATTTAAAGCTTTAGTTCAATTTAGATTACGGTAAGAGATTTCCTTCTCGATATACACCTCAAAAGTAGCACGAGAAAATTTCCCCTTGAGTAGATTTGCTAAAATATTCAAGCAATAGTTGTATGCATTTTAAACAAACAGTTATTTTTCGCTTTCAAAAATTGTCTGTAATTATTATTTTTTATTTTTGCTACTAGCAAATATCATTTAAATTAGACTAAAAAAATATTTATTTTTGGTTAATTTTTATAAAACTAGTTATTTTGAAAAAATTTATATAGTAGTATAGTACTTCGAGGAAAGTTTCTTTTTTTTACCGTATACAATAAATTACGGCTAAAATATTTCTGCTTAATATATTGTTATATTGTTATACAGAATATTTAAGGTTAAAAAATTATTTCTAGCTGTTAAATTGCGCATTTAGTTGATAAAAAATTAGTGATACCAAAAATTTTGCTAAAATTAAAAAATAACCTTTTAGTTATATTTTTCAAAAATTCAAATCCCTTGCAAAATATTCAGAATTTTCGTTATTTGATCAATTTATTTTTTAAGCTTATTACTTCAGCTTGATAAGCAGTTTAAAACGTTCAAAAATTAAGACTATCAAAATAAATACTTTAAAATTACAACAAAAATACAAAGTATAATTCAATTTATTAAATATATATATATATTTTTTTACTTAAACTTGAGCTTAAGCAAAGTTACTGAATGATTACTATTTTTAATCAGATAACTTAGTTCGAAAATACAAGTGTAATCCCACTCAGTATTATTTATAATTTACATCATTTTAACTACTAAGATTTTTTAGTCATATAATTATATAGCACAAATATAAATCAAAATTAAACCAGAAAAAATTTTAGCAAAATTTAATAAAACTGCAAAAACTATTTCATTTAATTTCAAGTCTTTTAGCTCATTTTAGTACTTAAATTAAAATTTAATTCAATTTCGAATGATGTCAAGAGAGAACTGCTAATATATTTAAGCATTTAATAAATCATTTCGTTTAAAGATAATATCAGAGAGCCGGAACAATGTAGCTTACCTTAAGGTGCTAATGTGTGGCTAAGTTTAAAACTAGAGTATCTAGGCTTAAAAAACTTTGCATTTGATTGCTTGCTTAATGATTATCCCTCAGTATTAATTAGATGAAATATAGTGTTTTAATGTTGTACAGTGCAAGTTAGTCTTGACACTATGTACGAGCAAGTATATTCAAATTCAGGGTACAGATGGTGTAATCGCTGTTTGGATGGCTGACATGACCTGAGAAGAGTTCATGGGTTTGGACATCCTGCTGGGTATGAGTTCGCTCCATCGCTACAGCTAATTGCATGAAATAAGCTTAGTGAAGAGATGATAATTATGGGTTTCAAGTGCTGCTGAACACTCTGAGATCACTCCCTCGTACGTGTTTGCCTAACCTCTCACCTCTTGAAATTGCCTGTATACTTTGCAGTGCTCCCTTGCAATCATTGAAAACCGTAAACATCAAATTATAGCTACAGATGTTGTAATCATTCTCTCTGTACTTATATACATATGAAAGAATTTTGCGTCTCAAAATTGACCTCTGAATAAACCGCTTAAATAATCTCGCGCATGTTGGAATAATCTTTAAATGACCTGCTGCTATTTTCAACTGTCAAATGCATATATTAAAAAGCGAAATGAAAAGTTCGAAATGATATTTTGATTGGAAATCGAATAATTAATAGAATAAATCTTTTTTGTGATAATTAAAAAATAAAATTAAATATTTGTAATTAATATTGAATTTCACACAAAAGCATTCATTCCATTATGCTAAAATTTTGCATAATTATATCTGAAAGTGTGAAAAATATATTAAAATGAAAAAGTAGAAAGCATTATTAAACAAATTTTTCACATTTAACATTTAAATTATTATCATTATTTATGCCAATTTGCTCAAAAAAAGAACTCAAATATTCTTATTTTGACAACAAAAATTGTCAATTAAAATGTGCTCACATTTGTAAACATCAAAATTTAATGTTTTGTTATTATTGTAATCATTAAAATTATTAAAAATTGTTTTTAAATTAAAACTACCATAGATTTAGAATATAACTGATATCCACTAATATCCCGCTGCATTCAAACTTTATAATAGGAGATTATTAAAATATATAATATTGAGTTGCAAAAAAAACGTTCCTTGAAAAAAAAATGAAAAATGTGTTGAGAAGAAAAATCTGATAAGCATTCACCTGAATTCGTGCTTCATTCAATTTTGTAATCCTAGCAAGTTCTTCACGGACGTAAATATCTGGATAATGAGATTTCTGAAAAGCGGCATCTAATTCCGCTAGCTGCTCTTGCGTGAATGTCGTACGATGCCGTCTTCTCACGCTGATATAAATATTGTAAAGTCTTAATTTTGATAAATATTATTGATTTAAAATTCGATGAAAATTTATTAACCATAGTTTATTTTTCATTGTCTTGAAATTAATTTATTTTCAAGAAAAAATTTTTCATACGAGAATTTTAGAAAAAGATCAAAAGTATACGGTACAAGGAAAAAAAGATAAGTAATAATTGTTTTACTGAAAATAAAGGTTGAATAATGAATTAACATGAATTAATGACTTGTGATTAAAATTTATGAAGAGGAAGTACCGAAAATTTTACCTAGCAGGTACCTGAGAACCGCTTGAAAGCGCACTAGCAAATACTGCAGATGCATTGCAACCACCACTTTCTGCTTTAATTTTCTTAAATGCACCATCTGAAAGAAATTTAAAAATAAATAAGTTCGTTATGATTAAAAAAAACAATATTGCAAATTCAAAATTGACTTAAATTTAAATTGTGTATTTTTATCAGCAAGGCAGATGGTTTGAAGCCAAATATTAAACGTTTGTTTATTGCAACGGTCGTGGATTATCGTCTATTTATATATGCAGCATGGAAATTCTAATTCAGTTTATTGTTAGTTTTGAAGTGAAAATAGTTTTTAAATTTTATTATTTATTGATATTATAAAGAAATCGGCAGATGGTTGAAATTTTTTAAATTTTAAAAATTATTAAAAAT